TTTGTCTTATCGTCGTTTTTAGCCAAGGAATTATCTTTTTTTTTTCGAATCATGAATTATATTGCCCCATTAGTATTTTTCCCTTTTTTTATTATGTACTTCAGAACAAAAACATTAGTTATAAATATAAAATTCCGATATAACTAATTTTATTACCCGTTAAAACAGCAATTAGTGCAATTGATATCAAATTTGTTAGTTCTCGTTTCTATTTTATTAGTGAAGTCGATTAAACAAATACTTAACTATGTATCATTAATGATACACCACCACTTAATCATATTTACACTGGGTGCATCGTTATATTGACTCATTACTTTTTGAATAAAAAGATGATTTCACAAAAAGAAAATGTAAGTACGTGTCTCTTTCTGATGTTGTTTCACATGAACGGTTCTGCTGATTTGCGAGCTACTACGTGTTTAATATACACATGTAGTCGTGTGTTCATATATAAACATATTTATATAACTTAAGTAAAAACAATTACCTCATCCAATCTGCTTATGTGCTATTGATTCAGGATACAAAAAATATCGACACTGTCGAAAAATCAAATTGTATGAAAAAAAAACCGCTGAATGATAAATATATTAAAAGATTCAGAAGCATGAAAACAATTTCGTTTAAATCTGTATTCAATTTCATAGAATAAGTTTGGAAAGTGTGTCAAATATTAAACAAGAAGCTGAGTATATCACGGTGAGCAGTGGCAGTTGTAGATTTTTATTACGGTGACCTATAGTGTTAATGTCAATGTCTATGTCATTTGGCCTTGGTGGAGATTTGTCTCATTGGCAATCATACCACATCTTCTTATTCTTTATATTTTTATAGATATTTCTGTCTTGTATTAAATTTTCGCCTTTAATATTTTAATCCTACTTGATATATGCTTTTTTGCAAGGCATATTCGTAAAAAAGTCAGAATTCTGTAAACTCCTGTTTACCATTTACACAACGAATCATAGTTGTTTTTTTCTTGTTTAGATTATTGATAATTCAATGTGGATCATGTTGCATCGTCCAATGTCAGATACTTACGTTTAATACAAATCAAAGGTCACACATATATACACTAAATGTATGTATTAACTATCATTAGAATATAGCAAAGTACTGTCAACCAATGCAATTGCAGGATTAGATGTGTTTTAATTGTGAAGAATGGATGTAAATCATGTTAATATTAGTAAGGGATTATTCTATTGTTTGGGCCTACTTTTTAAAACATAGAATATATATAAATGAGATAGAACTGGCCAAGGCAAATTTATCAGCTTCAAAGGCTTAAATTTTATGATTTAAATTGTTTAAAAATTTAATTGTTAAACAAACCAAAAAAAAATCAAAATAAACTGAAGTTTACTGAAGCAGTAAACATTGGTATCGTTAAATAATTAAAAACTTAAAAATTACTAAAAGAAAAATCAATATTAAAGCAACACAAAAAGAAGAAAGAAAAAATACTTTTAGAATGACTATAACTTAAATATTTAGCTAATACGCTCATCAAAAGCTCCGATTACTGGATCTGCGGTTGGAAAGAATAGTATTTTTAAATATTCCGATAAAAATTAAGATAAGAGGTTAAATGAACCTTTGAATTTCATATATGCATTTAATTCGAACAATAAAAATTTTAGTTAATTACCTCGATATATGAAATAGTATTCCATTTAAAGAGCTGGAATACAATATTGACTGGAATATAATTTAGCTGTGACTATAATTTTGATTTTATTGATTTGTACTGTGAAAAAATAAAACGATACTTCCTCACAAAAAGATTACATAATTTACATCATACTCACAATTGAGAAAGTATACCATACCTACAAATTCATTATATTTGTGTGTCATCTAATGTCTTAAACACAATTTATTAAAATTTCTGATATTATAAAAAGTCACTACATAACCATGACTCACCATAAATGAAATGCCTAAATAGGAAGTCATGCATTAATCATAAACATGGCACTAACAATGAAACGAATTCTTGATTAAAAGCAATCAAGAGATCATTTGAGCCTGGAGCACTTTACAATATTTTAAGTTTGTACAAGAATAACAATTCCTATCTTCATGATTAGTATTCGCTAACGCTCGTACTTAATCATGAGGAAAGGGATTATCATTCTGTTACATATACGTATCACATGGGTTTGTTATTCTACGGTAAACATGTGTTAATATTTGATATAGTATTTCAATTATTTAGCATGATAATAAGTCACCTTAGCATAGTTAAGAGTTAAAAGTTTCTTTGTATGATAGCACGGACTGGTCAGTCGCGGTTTACATTGAACAGATATTTTCTATTTTGACCATTCGAAGCTCATTGCAGTAAAGGTTCAAATGTGACATTTGGTATTGAATTTTTAATGAATGTAGATATGTTTTTTTTTCTCGTAGTACATTTTATGGGTTTGAGGCTACGGATAAGATAATTATGGACGGAACAATTGTTTAGTTGATTGTAACAGATAAATGGGAGATAACTCAATTTGAATAATGTTACATGGAAAATTAGAAAGGTATAATACATCCAATAGTTCCGTTGACGGTCTGATGTATGTATAAATCAAATCACTAATCTTGGAATCGCTATTAAATGATACAGTTGTTTACTTAACAGGAGTAATATCACTTTGTTTTATGCCATACTAAACGACATGACATTTGCTACACATTGTATAGCGATTCTACCTGACCATATCGGGATATCGGTAATAAGTAAATCTTAACCGGAAGTTGTGATAATATTAAAAAATCGGAACGGATGAAAAACGAAAACAATGTCAAAATGTTCAAGCTTTAATTAAATCTTTATTTGAGTTAGTTGATGCAAGCATGCGATCTTTATTGTTTCCTAGATAGTTAGATGCAAAATATGTTTCAAAGAATATATCATATAAGTAGATACGTTAATTATGAACTATGAACATCAAGTAGTGCGAGCACTGTTTTGATAGGTTTGAACAAATGTACTTCACTGTGGATAACCATTCGATAGCAGTCACTAACGTTTAGATTAAAGACTGTTGGTTATATTGATGACATGAAATCTGAATAACAGCTTGAACTTGAATGCAATGTTAATAAGTTCTTTTGATAAGTGATTTGTATACAAAAATGACATCACTTTCTACTGTGTTCCAATTCCAACAAGTCTAGCAAATCGATGAGTTTATTGTCTCCCTTTAATATATTCATTATTTCATTTTTACATATTGTTATTTGATTTTCTTTTTAATCGTTACAAATTTTGTAAAATTTGATAGCTTTTAGTATTTATAAGTAGTTTTCCCTCAGTTTTAGTTTGTAACCCGCATTTGTTTTTATCTCCATCGATTTATGAGTTTCGAACAGCGGTATACTACTGTTGCCTTTATTTATAAAAGGCATTTATTCATATTAATCATTTCATTTATTTGTTTTGAAACATTCACAAATGTTATGTATCATTATAAAGAAAGTTTTTGATACTATGGCTCTTCAACTGTTTCGGTTCTTATACACCCTTGGCTTTCAAATAATCGGCCTTGAGTGTTCCTGATCAAGGTAGATGCAGAAAAGCGCTTCGAACGCAACAAATATATAAGGTGATGTTTTCAGTTTTTTGCATCATTTTATATGCTTTTCTTGGCAATCAGTTTAGTACATGTGATGAAATAGCGAGCTACTCCAAAATATAGGGTAAAACAACTGCTAGGCATTTTTCATGGAGTATCATTTTCACATGTTATATGTTTATTGATAGTACGGAAGTACACATATTTGTTTTGTGTTTGTTTACATCAACACGTGTTTCAGAATGTATGTGATGTTCATAATGGTTTTTCCATTGGATGTCATTTGTCGCATTTCAGGTATAATTCTCCGTTTTATTAAGGTATCCACGTCTCGTACGATATAACTCGTTGATGGACTGTTCTAAAATTTCGAAATCTTTGAACCATTTTTTTTACGGACATACAAAAAAAAAAAGATTTTTTTTTTACAAAATTCATAATTTTTTCTATCAAATTTTATAAACTCTCTTTTTGCATGATATTTGTGCGCTTTAGTGAAAATAGAGTGGTCGAATAATAACAGTAGTTAACTTTGAAAGGAAAATCGGTAATATTCAGTATGGGACGATTATCCTGGGGACGATTTGACAAATCACAATTATAATACGCACGTTGATTTCCTTCCCCAAGACTAAACCATCCCCTTGTCAACGAACAGACGCTTATTTCAATGTATCCAAAGATAAACAGTCTGTCACAATCTGAGTAATATCTTTGTGCTGAAGTAGGTTTTCTGTTAGCATAAGCTTGTTTTAATATGATTTTGCAAATAATATTTCTAAAATATTGACGTTTGTATTTGAAAACCAAAAACATACAGCCTATTGCTTATCACTGAAATATTATAACTTCGTTTTTCAATCCATTGTGTGTCAGTTCAATTTTCCCAAAACCTTACAAGATTTCATTGTAATAATGTGAAGAGTGATTTCCAAAAATCCACTATCGCGGAAAAAGAGGAAGAGGTTGTGAATACGACCATTGGGACAAATCCGTCGTCATCTATGATACAGATATACCAATTCTTAAAAGAGTCCAAAAGTGTCTCTTTCAATGGATGATACATCGTTTGATTAAAGATAACTTAGTTTCATATAAAAAACTCATCAAAGAAACCAGGTCTCTAATTGGGTACTTCAAACGCGAGTTTCATCTACATCAGATTCATCAGTTGCGCGCCAAACAAAATAGTTGAATGGCCAATAGCATTTACAAAACTGGAGAGCAGTAATAACCAACAATTTCAAAAAGTGTGCTCGAATCTGAGTATATCCCTCGATGCTTGTGTGAAGAGAAAGCCTTATTGTTTCGAAAAATTGGAATTTAACGTATCAAGTGATTTAAACGTTTTAAGAAGAGTTAATATATAACAAATTACAAGGAGGCTCATTTTGGGATTTGCTACATGAAATAAAAGTCACCTTCGTATACTATAATTTTATTCCAGATATTTTTGTATTTCAAGCTCTTAATGTCTTTTTTTTTAACTTAATTTTGTTTGGTTTGATACGTTGTCTTCCTAATATGCTAAAAAAGACAAATAAATGACACTTTGTTCATGTTTTTGACTGCTCAAATGTGGACCATTTGTTTATAACCTAAAAAAGATCAAAAGAAATTATTCATAATAATCATAATATTAATTATAATATTATTCTTTATTTTAGAGGGTAACCCAAATAGTTTCTACTAATCTTACATTGGGAGGTTATAAAGTAAGACCAACATGATATATTACATATAAATATAATTACCCAAGCAGTATATAAACATAAGATTCATAGTATTTGTATTAATTAATACTATATCTCGGTGTGGCTTGACGGAGATATATATGCTATTTTTTTTGTACTTTTGGAAATATAGCTCTTCTAATGTTTCGGTTCTTATACATCATTGGCTTTCAAATATTCGGCTTTTAGCGTTCCTAATGAAGGTAAATCCAGAAAAGCGCTTTGGACGAACGAAATTTATCAAGTGTTGTTTTCATTTTTTTATAAAGCATTCAGATATAAATCAACATACAGATGTTGCTGTTTTTATCTTCGTTGGTAAGCTATTCCCTAGAACTGCAGAACTGTATGCAAAATATTTTTTCATTATTTTCGTGTTTGGCCGATTAACTACCAAATTGTTTTTGAGACCGATCTCAAATTTTTTTCATAAATTTCAGAGTTCTGAATATACAACTTTTTAAGATAATCAGGCGTTTTATCGTGTACGATTTCATATACTAGAATTAGTTTAGGATATGAAATTCTGTCTCGGAAACTTAACCAATTTAATCTGTCAAAAAGTTCTCTTGATGGTGTAAAGAAAGAGTCATCTAAAATTATTCACATATAGTTAGAAGTATTCTTTATGTATGCTTTCCATTATGTTATAATTCGGAATAATCGATTTTATAAGTGTATTTTTTTTAATTTTCAATTCGTCAAACGCGATAACCACTCTATTAATTTCAAGACGCCTCCATATCATGTTTATTTCCTTAAATTATCGAAATATTTAATCAGAAAACCAAGCTAAAATTAAATATCATTTGTTGAAGATATCAATGATGGATGAAAATGGCCTTTCGAACAATTTGATGCCTTAATGGACAAAATGTGATTATTAATATTAAATATGAATATTCAGTGCATTTTTTCCTATTTTATGCACAGCGTTGACAAATTTTATAAATTTTCAATATGAATATATATATTGTATCTAAATATTTATTTCTTTATAATATTACCTAAATTGGATTTATGGAATTTACGATCTTCGGCGATGGTATAGGTTGCCATTGCACCTTTCCACATATTTTCACCTACATGGTCACTCAATAGCCATGTACTAGCATGGTCAGCTAACATTTCTGCTGTAATAGATGTTCCTGCCTCATTACTTATTACACTTGTGCGTTTGGTGTTACCACACACGTTCGTAGTAAGTGCTTGGCCATTGAATTTTACGGAATGCTGAGAATTTTTGTCCCCACTTGACATAATATACCAAGAAACCTGTTCTCCGACAGATATATTCATTGCAGGTGTATTGAAATAGATGAATCCATTAATTGCGTGCATTTGGTTTGATTCGACAAAAGCTGGATCATCACAATCTTTTCGGCCAGGTGCGTATAAGCGAGTATTTAACTTGAAAAAGTGACTCTTTGTTTCATCGTAGGTCTGAAAATTAACAGCAAACTCACGATCAACATTATCATTCCTGTTACCATTCTTATCAAGTACGCCTTTTCTACAAACAACCAAAGGTCCGAAAAGGCCAGTATTAGAGTCTTTCAGAGGATTAGTTGTAGAATCATAGGATCGCCCAACGCAATTCGGGTCATTTGCACAAGGACCCGATCTTTCTGGAACATACCATCTAAAAGTTGCAGTTTGACCAGGTGGAACACCATTTTCTGATTGAGCACGAACCATGTGGTTATCGCCTTTAAGATTTCTCATATTGATTGTATTTGGAAAATTAACCATATTCTTATATACTATTTCAAGGGTATCGCCAACTTGAACTCGGACGAATGGTCCCATAGTTCCCAGATGGTAGTCTCTAAAACTTCGTTTAACTAAATGCTTAAATGAAGCGTCGGTAAATTCTCTGTAAACCGCTTTGGTATATGTTGTTCCAATGAATTTTTTAGTGTTCCTTACATATAAATGACCATCCCTGAAATATAAAAAATGCTTGAGATTGAAAGTAGTTGGAAAAGGTAAAAAAAACATGAGATTGAATGTAGCTTAAAAAGTTAAAAGAAAAATGAGTGAAAACAGTTAAAAAATGTAAAACAAACATGATTCGTAGTTGGCAAAGGGAAAACAAACATAATAGCAAAGTTGAAAAGAAACAATAAAAACCTCTAAAAATTAAAATCCTAGGATGAATAAACACTTGTATAAATGAAAAGTAATATTATCAAAATGAACAGGAACAGAATACACAAATCAATGTTAGGACAAAAACAGTAGTACACATATCGCAACGCAATGCTCTGTAGTCGTAAATCAATTATTTCTTCATGTATATTTCTGTAGCGAAGCAATTGTTAGTTTCCTTCAATTTTCAAAACAAATCTCTATACCTGTATCGTTATTCCCGTTAGAAATTTTGGCAAAAATTTAGGAGACATTTATTAATGCAAGATATAGTATCTTCTTTGGCTTGGATCGGAAAATTTGTATGAAGTATTGCATAAGTATTTTCATTAATTTACTAATAATACAATTGTGTTGTACTAAAAGAGAGGCGAAATATACCCAAGGGACATTCAAACTCATAAGTCGAAAAGACACTGACAACACCATGCCTAAAAAAGAAAAAAGACCAACAGACAACAGACGAACCATAGTACACAAAACAGAACATAGAAAACTAAAGACTGAGCAACACGAACCCCACCAAAAACTGGGGGTGATTTCAGGTGCTCATATCTTTTGAAGTGGAAGTCATATCTATTAATGATTTTACAGTTCCATGTTCAGTGCTGATGATAAATTTTAAATAAATAGATCTCAATTTTTTTGTTTTATAAAAATTAAAAGTTGTCTCACGTTTTTGGATTTCGAAGATCTTCAAGTGTGACAGGATGAATTTTTCTTTGAGCATATTCCCATTCAACAGGTACAGCAGCTATGTAATATCTCCATAGTTTACCAACTGGCCGAATTGACTTTGGAACATATGGTTTGCGTCCACAGTCTTTAACAATGTATTTAGCGACCATTCCATCTTCTTGTAAATTTGTCTGACCACTCTTAATCAGCCAAATCCCTAAATGTTGATACAAACAATTGATGAGAAAAGAATTTATCGATACCGAATGAATTATAGTACTGACATTGGAAGGCAGACTGCATATATGAATGGCAATAAGCTGGAAAACAATCCCGAAGACGGCGTTTGACAACAATAATGTTATGTTTAACGTAAATTAAATGTATACCGCCATCTTGGATTTAAAAAAAACAAGACTCAGTTGGTCTTATTCTTTGCTTAAATCTGCAAATATCCGCATAAAAATATCAGCACAAGTGTTATTCATATTGTATTATAATGTGAAGCTTGTAATATAACACCTGTAATTCCGACTTAGCGTGACTAACTTGTAAATAGTAGGGTTATATTAATACCTATTGTCAATTTCAAGTTTCTGCATTTAATATATGTCACTGGACGTTAACATTCCATTCAATCATTATCATCGTCTTCAAATATTGCTATTGGTTTTTTTTACACATGTATACACTCCAAGTTATCCCTCTGTTACCTCATTTATATAAAAGGTTATATATATATATATAACATAGATGTTTAATACAAAGGGAATTCTAAAAAATGAAAGTCCATTAGGCTGACATAGTTCGATAATGTTTCGAATTATATGCAAACTGAGCAAAAATAATAACTGCCATATTCAAAATTCCTGACATCGGCGGTTCATTTTATGGATTAGAAAACAAAGAGAACAATCGGTATCTCAATAAATATAGCTACGTCTCAATCAAGCATCATAAATTGATTTCAGAATATTCAAGATTTACGACTTTTCTTGAATAAAAAGATGTGGGCTGTGATTGCCAATGTGATAAACTATGCAGAAGACACACAATTAGCCCAATTAAGTTTTGTGTGTACTTTAACAACTGAAGCCGTAATTCTGCTGTAGTGCAACCCGATCACATCTGTTATAACAAGTAGGTGCATGGGAACCATACCACCTAACTAAATATAAGAGTACACAACAACCCTCTTTGTGTACATAATACGCTCGGGAATATACGTCTTTCTATTTTGCATGGATTATTAGCAAATGCTATATTTCAACTCTAGTCCTAAGCAAAGCCGCTTTTTTTATCTGACAAAATTATTTCGGATTAAACCATCATACAAGTAAGGAGAGGCTAAGATTTTTAATTCGGGTAGATATTGGCTGACTTTGTGTCATAACCCCGTCCAGTACTTGTTATTTTTCACATAAATCATTTTAATTAAGGAGCCTTGGATTTAATGTCATTATTCAAATTTCGTTTGAAAACGTACACACCAGAGACAATTAGTAACGTTTACATGGCTTAGCACAGCATGTAGGCATTAACCTATCGTCGTCAGATCTAGAGATATGACAACGAGACATTGATTCTACAGATTCCCTAAAATCAATCGGTATCCATAAAAAATATATCATTATTCGTATAACAATTTTGAATTTACACCCACCAAAACAATAAAAACGTCTGGCTAAGTATACCATGCAGGCATTTGGATATATTGAGGGACCATTTATAACAACTCATATAAAAACAAACACTTTCTTTTCATAAGAAAATAAATATGTGAATAAAAGTTCATTTGATGAGGAAAATTAGTCTCCTTTGATCTCGAATTAACTTGTTTAAAAAATCCTCAAACATAATAAATAACTAATTAATTAGCTTAAATTTCTTATGAATGTCAATCCTTGTAATGAAATAAATGATAATTGGGATTCTATTAAAAAAATTTAAAAAAATAACTTCCCGAGAAAGTATCTCCCGGTGATTGCTTTTTGAGTTTGATTACGTATACATCGACAAATTTAAATACAATTTGAAGAATTCCGATAAACTAAATTAAACACATGTAGAATGGTTGCTCAGTCTTTGGTTGAATATGTTGTGGTTGTGGACTGTTGTTTGTCTGTCTTTTTATTTTATAGCCATAGCGTTGTCAGTTTATTTTCGACTTCTGAGTTTGAATGTCCCTTTGGTATCCTTCACCTCTCTTTCAATGCAAATTTGAGCAATTTTTCACGACTTTTAGTTTAAATATTTAAAATGGTGACTCATACTTTTTATCATATTTCTGAAAAAAAGCATGGTAAAATCACAATTTTGGAAAAGTAAAGAAAATTCTATCTGAGGAAATATATACTGATGATCCACAAGAAAGCTATTAAACCAAGAGTTTCAAGTGGTGAAGTTGAAATCGTCCCTTCGCAAATTTTACAGGAGCAATCACGAGTTGGTTGACCGTTATGGAATGTTTGTTTCACAGATGACAACGGGTATGTTCCAATTGTTGAAACTACAATCCCGTCCCATTTTCCCCGAATGTGACCTACCAAATAAGACTTATCACCGAGTTTATACTAACATGAGCAACACAACGGATGAAACATTAGGAGCATGATCTTCTTACCTTTTTGAATCACCTGCGATAACCCCCTGTTTTTGGTGGGGATCGTGTTGCTCGGTCTTTAGTTTTCTATGTTGTGTTTTGTGTACTATTGTTTGTCTGTTTGTCTGTTTCTTTTTTAACCATTGCGTTGTATGTTTATTTTCGACTTATGAGTTTGAATGACCCTCTGATATCTTTCGACTCTCTTTAACAGTACGTCCTCGTCTCACTTGTTTTTGTTTTGACAAACGTTTTTATTTCTATCATTGCTTGCTTCATAAACTTCATAAACAATTGAACAAGATAGAGGAAAATTAAAAAAAAAGCTTTTTTTAGGTTAAAGTAGTTTATATTTTAAGGGTAGTCAAATGAGATAGAATTGACTGGAGGCGTTTTACATAAGTTCGAGTTCGTATCTGTTGTGGCTTGTCAAGGCTGTGTTTTAAGGGCATGGGATGAGCTTGTATAAGATAAATTTGTTTTAGAATATGATTCGTGTAAGTATGATGAACCAGTTTACATGAAGGGACCTACGATTCTCAGAAATATTTTTTTTCATCAGCTCAAAATGATCACCTGCTTTATTTTTTAAATAAAACATAAGATAATATAGACATTATAAAAATGTGAAAACTTTTAAACTATGAAAATGTAAAAGAATAAATGGTACTTCCATATCATACCTTTAGTTTAGAAAAAAGAATTCTTAACATTAAAAGAACTTCTCATAGAAAATCAACACACATTAAGATAACTACTATGTATTGCAGTGCATTTGATATTCCTCTTACTTACCAATATTATCCGGTGTCATGGTAACTGTGACTGCTTCTCCATTCCCAACAGTTAGTGCATCGACATTCTGTCCATTATATCCCACACTGTTACCCTCAAAGATTATAGACTGATACATATCTTTACACCCTGCAAATCCTAAGATACAAAATATGACTGTTTCGCCAGCACACATTTCCAGTCCTTTGACATTTCCATACTGCAACCCATTTATTGCTATACAAATATACAGATTAGAAATGAATTAGGTATACTTCCTTTCATATATTTAAGAGATCAGGAAACAACAAGTACCAAGTTACCTTCAATTTAATATATTTAGACATCTTTTGATAATGTTAGAAAATGGTTACAAAATGTACGCATCTTCTCATGTCGAACATGAAAGGTAAACAAAGAAGATTTTTTTGTCAATCTTATACACGGCTTTTACATGCAGGTCTTTCCAAACAACGTCAAAATACTTGCTCAGTGTTCTAAATTGTTCACGAAATCTCTTTGCAAAAAATAACTTCTAATGTACTATCAATTCAGGGCTTTAGAACCACTGAACAATTGCATATTCTATCGACAGTATCAGTTGTGGAGACAAAAACACTTTCTGAGAGTATGTATAAATTAAGTCTGTCGTGCAATACTATTAAAAGTATGTTGCTTCTCTACACTTGAAACAAGTATTTCTCACTCTTAACTTAAACACAAATTTAAAGATTTTTCATGAACAAGAATTGGCAACTAAGAAACAAATATCCTGTTTTAGGAAGTGATAAATCAGATATTGTAAAATGTACTCTGATTCAAATCAAAGATCTCTTAAACTGACACTATCAAAATGCTTGATTTTTTATTGACAACATATCTGTTATGTTTAGACGACTGTTATTTCAAGTGTCACCCGACGTTCCAATTTTTCCCTCTTCCTATATACTATATAAATAAAAACGAATCTTTGCGATCAGAAAAGAGAACTTCTGTGTGATAAGATTATGTGGTAGTTAAGTGTTCAGGGTCGAAAAATTGTAACTGGAAACCAAATTGAACGAACCATTAAAAGCACGTTTTTTATATACAAGCACCCCATGAGTATTAGACAAATTTGAACGTGTTTTCGTGTTATTTAGTAACCAATACATAGTAGAAACATTCAAATTTTCAGATCACGCATTAAGCTGAGGTGGTGCTCTAAACTAATTATTTGAAAAAAAGTTTACCCTTTTCGAGATCATGGTCCCCTTTCAAGATGTTAATGTGGCTCATGTTTCCCCCACTTAAGTTTTTTGTGAAGGACTATGGAGATTTGATTAATAGATAAACATATTCGGCTTATCTGTTTTGCTTATGGTGATTCTATCTGACTTTTTATTTTAAATTTTGTATTTTCTCTTTGTATCTTTGTTAATATTTGCACACATTCAAGTTCAACACCGTGTATGGGATATTTACTTGGAAATCGTGTAACTTTCGTCGGCCTATGAACAGGATGCATCCCTCTAAATGGAGTACCCAAACTTGTCTTTGTGTTGTAAACTGCTGCTTGAAGGAAAAACTGTTTGTCAAATCCAACCTACAAAACAAAAATCAACAACACTAGTGACTGACTATTAATTCCGGAAGATTACGAAAGCTATTACTACCAGTGAAATGAGATTTTACTTTAAAAAATATAAGTAAATCACCGGGAACTTCTTTTGTGTTTTTTAAAAAGAGGTAAATAGTTATATTCTTAACAAGATGAACTGTCTATTGCTTACTTATGATACCGTGCTTTAAGTATTCGGTAAAGAGGAAGATGGATAATAAACAGCAGAAAATGTGACTCAAATTTCAATCATGGCCAGTATGTGTCAAAATAGATGAATAATCGTTAAATAAAAAGTTGATAATGCATCGAAATGAAATGCAGTAATGCATGCTTACGTCAAGTTGGATGCATAATTTTACCAAGTTCTGATTTGTATTTTCTTGTGAAAAAGCGAGGCAATTTCATATATGGTCATTATGTACAAGAATATATAATTATCGGTAAGGTTAGGAAGGTTATGATCGATAGACATAAAAACACATTACAACATGCTCACACATAGCTTGATACAAAATGTCAAGAAGCTCTGATTTGTAGTTCCTCAAACAAATGGGGCGAGATTTTCATGGGACGGTCACACATGGACGGTCGTACAAATATACATCTTTCAGCAGGAATGCAAAATCTACATTTAAACTAAATTCAATCTAGCTCTAAAACAAAACCCGTGTTATCAATAATATGTTTAGCTTTTATTCCTTTAAAAGTTAAAAATAATAAATATATTTATACAACTATGAATCAAAAAAGAAGATGAACAGTTGCAGTAGTTCTTGAAAACATTATTTTCCAATAATGAACTACTATGACCGCTGTTCGAATTCCATTCATGTTTGAGTTGAAATTACCATAGTAAAACAAGACTAAAAATAGTATATATCAAAATAACTACATTTACTAAATTAATATCAGAGACAGCTGTAAAGATAACTTCAAATTATATCAATATCCTCGTACCTACATATTCAAAATGGTGAATTTATGTGTTCAGTTGATAGATAAATAAAACTACAATTCTATTATTATAGTGCATAAATCCATCAAACGTCGTCACGATCTGCTTTGTTTATGCAAATACATTTCAATAAATACATGCTTTAATATTTACCTGTTTTCCCTTACATGATAATCCTCCACGTTTACATATAGTCAATGGTCCTGTCAATCTAAAATTAACATCTTCGGCATACCCTTCGCCTGCAGAATGATAGAATGAGGAAAAGCACCGCTGTCCAGACTTAGAATTTGGCGAAACATTATCCCGAATTACGAACCTATATAATTTTGTCTCTCCTGGCATGGTAAGACGACCGCATAATTTCTTACCTAAAAAAAATTTTTTAGTTTTAGTTTGATAGAATTCACGCAAAAGGGACCCTTGATACATCGGGTCATTTTGTAATGGCCCACAAAATGTTATGTCTAAACTATGTATTTTCCAATTAAACAGAGTCACCACGAAATGTTCCTTCCGACTGTTAAGTCTGTATTGAAGCACACTGCTGCTTGAATAAACACAAAATTATGACCGTTCGGAATAAAAGCCTGTCTTTGTGTTCAATAAATACCGTGAAAAGAATGCTTTTACTAATTGTTTGCAATGTCCTTTTGAAGGATGAAATTGTAGTTCCTACTTAACATCATCTTTTATTCAAGTAGCAATGTAACGTTTACTCCCTCATATCTATCCTGCTCCAGTCAAATGGAGGCTTAATTTCCAATTTTAAAACCATGAATTTGCTATCAAGATATTTTTGCTGGCATTTTTCTGGAGAGGTAAAGAGTGCCCCAATCGCTTGTTACAATGAGGTTTTTAAAAATGAAAATTATTATAAATTGATACATCAATTATGCACAAAAAGTCACTGTTCTGATGTATACAAATGATTCAAAATGGAACTTTTCATGTAAATTCTACTGTCAATGTTTTTTTTATTTGTTTACAATTGATACGTCAAATAACATCCCTCCATTTCAAGAATTCAAAAAAAAAAAAAAAAAAAAAAATCAAGATAAAACGATGAGTAGTGCGTTTTTCTCAATGCTAGCACCAATGCTTATAAGGTAAAAAACAATGATATATACATACAGATTCTATTACTGTTGCATTACCAACTTAATCACTCAAGGCAGTTAGATTTGTATCGAGCGAACATAATGAAGCTTCTTTTAAGGCACGTTGCGTTCGGTTGCTATATATATTTAGACATTAATACGATTTCCATGGTTGATGCTGATACTATTAAACAGTTAGTACCTAATAACACTGACTACTGATCTAATAGTATTGTCAGGTACCTAGCAGTTAACAAGCAGTGGTATCGAACCAGGGCTTATAAAAGAAAATAACGCTTTCTAAATTGATGCGTCCGAAACATATTTTTTTACCTTCATCAGGAATGCCTAAAACCAATAGTTTTAAAGCCAAGGATGTATAAGTACTTGAAATCGTGATGAACTAAATGACCAAAAGGGATATAAAAAATATGTCATCTTAGGCATGTGTTTAATTTGCCGTCAACTTAAACATACCTGATTAAGATGAAAATTAATCAAGGGATACTGTCACGTGCTCTGAAATCAGAATTAAACTTTGATAATTAAAGATCTAATAGGTTATAACTTACTTTTTCTATTGTTTCTATATAAAATTCCTTCAAATTTTTTTTCAATATCAATGCCTACAGGAACAAAAGAAGCTTTTCGATTCCTTAATTTGTTTTTCAAAACAACTTCCAAGACGTCACCAACTTCCGCATAAACGTGTGGTCCAAAGTCGCCAAAATGTTCTGTTTCTGCAGTTTTTGCGACAGGAGTTGTAAATGTTCCATCGGTATACTGTGTAAATCGTCCGTGGTGTATATTTCCTGCATTAAGAAATTTCTGTTCTCGTCTGAAATAATGAAATTAAGTATATTGAATAAATGTACATATGCTATATTTTTGAAGACCCATTGTCTATAAGAAGTTATTAGAACTTTCAGTTTATTTTTTATTGGTTTGTTTGATTATGCTTATTCAAAATGAAAATTAAATCTTAAAAAGAATGGAAATGTGGAAATGAAATGTCTGTATTTAGATTAAGTTCAAACATTTTACGTCTTTTTTTTTAATATATTTTTAATATGAATAAACAGAAATGTTTCACTAAAGTAAATGAAAGCAAGCAAATGACAGAAAATAAACAGAAAACGAAAAAAAACCAACCCCATAAAACATTGGGATAACACTAATTGCTTATGTCAATACTTGAAGCACAATTTCAAAATTTGTTAGCTATTTGAATACACTGTTGACACATATATATGTTTCGCCTTTTTGTAATGTTGATAGTATCATGCAAATATTGAACAACAATTAAACAATACACAAGTGATGGTACATTCTGCAATCTCTTCTTCGCCCCGAGTATATGTTGATTGATTGATTGGTTTTAAACGCCACTTTTAGCATTATTGTAGTCGAGCGCACCTACCACGTGCGCACAACCTCAGTGTTGACAGGTTTGTGATAAAGAAATTTAACTACTTGCCAACCCTCCCCTACCACACCCACGATAATAGAAAAGGTTTGTTAAAACCTAAAAAAAACTATCAAAGATGACACCATCACAAAATGTTGATAAAGCTAAGGTCTACTGAAGCTATTGCTAGGTATGACAACCGACGAGATTTTCAATATTTGACAGGCATATAATTAAATGGTAGTGTTATACTATAATTGCCTCAAGCACTATACCATACCATTTTTAATTCCGTTCGGTGAATGTAAAAAAGTTGTACAGAAAAGGATATAATTAAAATCAGTGCTAACACTAACGTACGATTTAATACCGGTATTGTGGACAACAAAAACATATTTACATGTAAACCATGACCAAAGTATATACCGCATAAAAGAATGCTTGCAGTCGCTGAAAGCAAGATCAAAAAACTTAATCTTATATTGAAACAATTCATCATACACGTCAATATCGGTGTCTATACTTGGAAAACAAGAGTCATACAGCAAAGTAACAATGGACGCCGACACGATCTGGGATGCAACACGTACATTTGTGTGGAAAAAAAACACAATAATTAAACAACAACAACGTGATAGTATTTCAACAACTTAAAATTGCATCGTACTTTTGTAAGTTGGATACAGAAAACATCGATATCTTATCCCGGCCTCGTTAGGCATTAGTAGTATATAATCAAATAGAACTAGTTAGTACTTGTTAGTAAACTGCATTTTGAAATGTGCATTACAATATTAAAATGTTTCCACTGTTTCCATAGTATGGTTCAATAAAGAAAGACCGATATTTTAGAGAAAGAAGAAGAAATGAGAAAAGAAAGGAAACATTGTGATAATATATTATATACTAAGTGTTTACGTAAAAAAAGATACTAAAAGCACAATTTCAAAATGTGTTAGCTATCTAACAAAATTGTTCACTGATACAGAGATATGTCTCGCCTGTTTGTAATATTGATAGTATTACTCAAATATTCAGTTCAAATGCCAATATTGAAACATGTAAACGATGCAAAAAATTCAAAGTCAATGAACTATTACTTGGGTAACAGGACCAAATAACTATAGAAATGAGAAATGACAATACTTATAAAACTACATACCAAATACCATTAACTAATCACAAGTGGTTCACTTTACATTTACCTGAACACAAACTTTAACTGGTAACCAATGTTAAAGTTTTAGTCAATGATAGTCAATGAAGGGGTGGGACCATTTAATGTCTCAATAGAAAATGCTAATACATCTACATACCAAAAATTCATTGACCTACCACTAGTGGTTTCCTTCAAACTGACCTAATCACAAACTAATACATGTAAAGTAAGAAAACAACTCAAAGTCAATAGACCATGACTGAGGGGTAGGGACAAAGAATCTCGAAGCAAATAAGATAAGCCATGCTTATACAACTGCATAAAAAATATCATTGGCCTACACATACACTGACCTAATCACAAACTAATACATTGTTTACGCCGCCACCGACACCGGAAAAAGCATACTTTGTTGATGTGGTTCATAAGTGTTTCTCGTTTCTCGTTTTTTATATAGATTAGACCGTTGGTTTTCCCGTTTGAATGGTTTTACACTAGTAATTTTTTGGGGCCCTTTATAGCTTACTGTTCGGGGTGAGCCAAGGCTCCGTGTTGAAGACCGTACTGTGACCTATAATGGTTTACTTTTATAAATTTTGACTTGGATGGAGAGTTGTCTCATTGGCACTCATACCACATCTTCTTATATCTATTAAGTCTCCTTTTTTGATTCCGTCAAGGCGACACAAACATTAATCCTTTTTTGTTTTTTTTTCAGTGAAAACAATATATAATTTGTTCAATAAATACAACTTTTATCTTAAAATCTAAACAGTTAAGAAGTAGAGCTTTCAATGACTTCAATATTTACTGGTATTAAGAAGGCGTATGCACTAACCTTAAAGGGAGGATTGGAACAGCACAGCTTTCCTACGTTTTTTTTTCATTACGTTGGACTGAACATTAGTCTTCAGACAATTCAACATAATAATTCCAAACCATTTATATAAAATGTATAAGTTTTTCAAAGAAGGTTATAAATGATTTGCGACGATGCAAAAACTAAACTGTAGAATATAAATGAATATCTTTAACTGATGAATTCAAAATATCAATATCTATTCAATTTAACAAATATATACTGAATAAGCTTCATGTAAATTATTAAATAAAGAAATATGAAATTTTATAGTTTTAAACAAGGGAAATAACAATTACATAATTATACGTACTGTCTGTTACAATATATGATAATGATAATTATATGCACACTGTGCCTAAACTACCCCGGCGAAAAATGTTTGGACTCAATAGTATCTAATGTCCAGTACGGTGACGGACAATCAACAGACAGAGAAAGGTAGAAATTCTGTTTATTTATATGTTGTTTTAATGATATTGAAAAATATACATACACATATAACTATTTTCGATAGTGTGATGTAATATTTTCTACCTCCGATCTAGATTTATGAAAAAGGCACATCAAAATGTTGAATTGAGTGAACCTTGCCTCGAATTTGTTTAATTTCTCTTTAAATTGAGCACATTGTAGAGGGAGGGGGGTCGGAGGGGTCCTGATCCCGAAATCCCGGGCTTTTTTTTTTTTTTTTTTTTTTTTAACGATAACAAATATTCTTATTCAATCATTTCCTGATATATAAATACCTAAGTAGCCCAGGTCGCATACTTAGGGGCCCCTGTATTTTAACAGCCTCACTTGACCAGGGAAAAAATCAAATGAATTTAAACTTACAATAGATTTACATACATATATTTAAATAACCAATACAATCGATTTTACCTGTTAAGCATCACTGTAATACATAATCACTATCGTATATCCGGTTCACTGACTAACATGTGTTTATTTAAACGTGAAAACTATATATTTGATTGAGAAAATTTGAATTGGAAATTATTGATGTGATTGAACAAAAATTGAAATTATTCTGTAATATATAAGTATGGATTATAAAAGGATAAAGCACATGTGGTAAGTACTAATGTATTAAGAAGCATGATATATGTGGTAATTTACTAATATACATAATATGCACAGACATAGATTCAAATATCGATTACAATACAAATATTTCTTTCTGTAAAAATAACTTATTGTTCACTACGTTCTTTCTAAAATACAATAAGATTATTATATATGGAATCGAACACACCTTTAGTTTAGAGCAGTAGAACTTAGTATATCTTCTTATATTTTTTCGATAAAGAGTTCAATTTTTGATCTGCATATATACTTTATATCCGAGCGTAGCAAGAGTAGTTTTAATTCGTTTTTCATTTGCAATTTCAACAGGCTTTGTATAGACTGCATATTCAGTTTAATTTTATCGAATTTGCATTTATTACGTATTTTCCAAATAGCCCATTTAAAATAAAGTATTATTGCATTAACAATTATATTATTCGAATTATCTGTACAGATTCCTATTAAAATATCTTTTTCAACGAGCGTCTCGTTATTTATTAGGTTACAAAGTTGTAAATTTCTGACAACTGTTTCTATCAATGGTTTAACATTATTACATTGATAAAGTAAATGCTCGAGTGTTTCAATATTATTATTTTCATCACATAAGTGACATTTTCCATTTGACATATGCATTATTTGCAGCCTCTTTTCGGTATATATAATTCTGTGTATACATTTCCATTGAAATTCTTTAACTTTTCTATTAATATCCATTTTACTGAGATTTATCCAAATTTTTTCCCAATCTATATACTCGCTATACAAATTTTCCCATTTTGTTTGACACTTAGGGGTCTCAGTTATGTTTATGTTTAACTGTAGATATTTTAATGTCAAATCTTTGATTTTAATGATTTTATTATCTGGATTTAGAAATTCAAAGATTTCAGAAATTTTGATTTTGTGGCTTTTTAAAGTGCGTTGAACATCGTTGTTTTTTAAAATCTGCACGAATGTTTGTGGTATGGAACTTTTAATTCGCGAGTATTCCGAAATACAATTACGTTTATCTATTAGTTGTTGATATGTTTCATTGCACGATTTAAAATCTTTGGTATTATTGTCCCATATATCACCAATAGTTTTTATTTGACTTTTTGAAAAAGAAGAATAAAATAAAGATTTGCCCTGAAATAAAATATTTGAGTTTCCAAATAATCGCTGTTTCTTTACTTCCATTTCGTTAAAGATACCCTGTGTGATACTTGTCAATTTTGACCACGATTGTAAAGCGCTTTTGTAATAATGTGGTAGGTTTTTGATCTCAAGACCTGAAAGGTCAGAACATCTACACAAAAAAAGTTCATCTGCAAATTTCTTATCGTATTTTTTTAACCA